AGCAAATACAGTACATAAATGAATACAGCCATCCCTGGTAAAGTAAACTGGAAACAATTATAGGCAGACTCAAATCGGGGATTACACAATAATAACATTTATATAAAACTTAAATGGTATCTAATACAACATGATATTGGCATTCAACAATGTCACTGGTTGTCACATCAGTCACATCAGAGGGTCATACACTCTACAATCCCCAATGAACTTGTCAGAACTGAAGTAATTTTGCCAGTAAGAATGGATAAAATTCTACCACTCCACTGTGCAAAGCTAGCAGAGTATCCTGAAAATGTTGACAGCTGCAATTGCTGTCAAAGATTTTCACACCAGGTATTAAATTAGGTGGGTGAATACATTTCAAATTGTATATCTTCGTTGTAGGTTTTGCTGACATCAAGCTTCCTTCACATACTGTATAACAGTGTGTCACTTGAGCATTACAGTTTTGAATAAAGTTGCTCATTTGAAAAACATATATTACTTATAATTCATCAAATGTTAAGTTAGTGAGGATGTGAATACTTTTTCAAGGAACTGTATTTGTATTCTGTATGAAACATAATGAATATGCTTACAAAAATTACCCTTGTATGTACATCTACAGTACTATATGCAGATACTTTTATACAGTACTGTATGTTCTAAAGTCAATTTCTTCAAAACCTGACAAAATAGCCCAGCTCTTGTATTATTCTCAAGATGAGGGCCAGGCTAAGAAAACCCAATTTATAATCCCCACAATATAGTTTTTCATTAATCTTATGGTTACAGATGTTTGTGTCTGTTTCAAAACCACACTTCTCTGATCTAGGTTGTATAAATGAGAACACTGAGGAAGTAATAAGCAAATCCTTAAAGAAACTTCACACTGTTGACCTCTTAGAAGTAATTTGTTTATTGCTTTGCCAAGTTTTACGTTCTTTCTAGTACAGATTCCTAAACAAGAAGGTTTAAAGTAGGTGATATTTCAGCAAGAGAGAAAGCATTTTTTAAAGCCTCTTTAATGGAAGTTCTGCCATATCACTTGACCTCCATTTAGTACCATTAAGTATAATTATCCAGCAAAATGTTTTTTCTCTTATATAATGCAATTTGTAAGTATTTCTTCTTTTGTGGTACCTTAAGGAATCTGATCTTATTTGCTTTAGAGTACATTTATAGAGCTACAATCAAATTACTGAAAAAGTAAAGGAAGCTTTTATTTAGTACACAAGGTTACTATGTTTCAGGGCATTTTGGTCAAAAAGGCATTTTGAGAAAGCACTATTCAGAAAGAAATGTAACAGTGGGACAGTAGTCATGGGTCTGTACACAGTAATGCAGTAGACTTACGTGAAATGTCTGCGACTTATGTTATAATGTCACAATGTTAATTTGGAGAGGTTTCAAAGCCTTTATGTTGAAGATCAGTTCTTGTTCCTTTTCTTTGTGTGAGACGTGCTCCAGAACACTGACTCATAACACTGATTACCACTATTAGAGTGACAGGCAAGTTGCAGTAATCTGCTAATATCGTGAACGTTTCCTGTAAATTCTGATAAGTGGTAATCTAAACATCTTTTGGTTTTTCCCAATGTACAGTATATTTGGTAGCAATTGTACAGATAAAGTAATCCTTTGAATGTTCATATAAAGGTCTGGAGAATGTCAACTGATGATTATGGTACCCCGTTTTTTGTGCAGAATTTGATGTATTTGCAGATGATGCATCTTGCCCTGTAGAACATTCTCTAGGGACAACTTTCACAATGTGATGTCACGTTGTACTTTTAGTTATTCATACTCTGAATTGCACAAACTTTGAGTTTCCAAGATACTTTACTTCTGTTTTGTTTGGAAGCATAGAGATTTTAAATATCATTCACGTTTTTATGTGAATAATAGGTTTTAAATCAAAGAAGCTGCAATAGAAGACGATTTCCACACTACAGTATAAAACATGTTTGCATGTTGTCCCTGATGCTTTCATTCAAGGGTTTAATTGATAAGAACAACTTCACCTAAATATTTTTAAACAGATCTAGAAACTTTGTCGTTCTTAAAGACAAAGACATATATGCCACTGTGGCAACCGCTAAACATATGTCTCAAAAATGTCTGGATGCCCAAAATAATCTACTAAAAATTGCAGAAACCAAAAAAAAATCCATGACCAAGACCTTATAGATACAACTAGAAATAAAATTACAAGGAAACAACAACCATAAATTAGTTGCAGATACAGAGAACCATGACTTAAAACTGGCAAAAAAGATTTACACTTGAAATGCCTCAGAAAAAATAACTACCAAAGCACATAAAATGTAGAATAAAAAAAAACAACAGCAAAATATATTTAATTAAAAAATAAAAAGTCCAGGGTGAGATAGAAAAGACCACAGACACAAAATCTTACATACTGCAGTTTACACTTCGAAAACACTTGGAATATTGTATCCATTGTGACATATGTTTTCTTACCTTTGACAATTTCTGTAATATTCCATTTATTTTAATCTCTGTGTACATGTACATCAACAGTGCTTGACTTTCAAAAGGCATTGGAAGCAACGGTAAAAAAAGGCAGTTTATTATTCTACAAAAAAAAATACTTATTGTACAGTACCAGTAGCTGGTTTTCAAGAGAGCACTTACTGCAGTTCTATTTCAACTGCATCTGAATGTAAATGTTAAGTAATATTGTATTTACTGAATTACCCATCAGATGAATAACCTTACTGCAATAGACTTAACGAGACACTAACTGACAACATTCTGACAGGACAAATGTTAAGTATTGATAACGTTCTGAAATGCTTTATCTGAAATGTAAATAAAAGGTGAAATCTGTTTAAAATGTATGGAGCTTGATGAAATACAGAATTGGGCACAGAATGTTGAGCTACCAAGGTTTTGTATTTGTTTTGAGGTTTTCTATCCTTCTGGGTCTTAATAAAATCAATGACCATATGCTTATCTGCATAGATAAATGTTTCCTGATTTATTAGGAGATACTCTAGATTTAATTTTGGCATCAGTACTGTATGTAGATCTCATATACAGCAAAGTACAGTATATCCCTAGAGGGTGAAGTGATGTGGGGAAACAGGATAGTAGACAGTAACCTGAAGAGTTGAAAAGACTGGGTGAAGGTAAAATTTAACTAATTGTTGACATATAATTACACGTTTGCTTGCTTTCTAGAGTACATTTAAATATTAACTCGACATAGATAGTCCACCTCAGCAATGTTCCAGACAGATTATCACAATTTGTCATTTATAAAGTACCTTTCATCAGTGCTACTTCACTTCGATTTCAGTTTTACAATACAAAATGAATTGCTTTGCTGTAGTTTTATAGAACGAGAGACTAACTGGCTATTAAATCATTATTTTACACCCGGGTATCAAGGGTCTTGCCCTTAAAACATGAAAATGCTGAGTTATATTTCTTGAATTCAGGATAAAAAGCACTTGGAAATTAACAAGTGTATTTGTATATCAGAGTGGAGAAGTATACAATTGGTCTGCCATTTTTTCCATGGAGTTTGAACTTCATGGGAAAATCAATGCATTAATGTGAAACCTGTTGTGACTGACAGGGCATAGATGGATGTTGTTTTCAAATGCTTCGCCTTTCACCCAATGAGAGATGGGGTTAGATGGAAAGGATTTGTGTGTGGGGGGATGGTGAAACTCACTTTACAAGAGGAATATTGTATAATGACATTAAAAAACAATACAATCTATATTCCTCAAAATCAAATGAATAATTCCATCAGATGTAAAATGGTTGGTGTCAGTCTTTATAGCAATGTGTTTATCAAAGAGCAGAAATGTATCAAATTAACTGAATTAAATTTACATTTATTTTACTTTTGTTCTTTGGAAATGGGCGGTAATTAAACATGACGTCAGGGCATTTTGGATTTTATTGAGGTACATTTCCTATGTGTTAAACCAGGTAAGGTTCCATTTTTATGATATTGAATGTGAATGCAAGGGCTCTAAAACACATTCTCTTAGTGTAATGTTTAACACCATTATTGCACTAAGTCAGCATGAAAATGTAGTGTTAATCCATTAAAATTGTATTTTAAAAAGACCCTTTTGGGGAAAATGTTGCCATTGCAGACATTTTCACAAAGTAAAAAAATGCCATGCAATTACCAAGGATTAATGTCCCTTTGGCTCACAGTTTTCAACACCTGTAATTAAAATGAAATAAGAAAGAGACACTAGCAGTGAAATGGTTAAGTGTGGAGTGAGATGCTGCAGAACAATTAACTGGCATTGATACTCTTTGTAGCTATACTTAGTTTTCAAACAGTAGATAAGTAACAGCTTTCCTTGTATCCAGGCCGTAAATAGAAGCCTGGGGCTATACTAAAGGTAACTGTTTACTTAATACTTTTAAAATTGATAATCTCTCTATCATCCACCTTAATGTTGTTACACAATGTGACGTGTCTTGGTTGTTGTGCGCATATACTGTATTTATGTATGCTATTTCAATTTATTTGCTTTGCATGGAATACACTATTTTAAAATTAAGACGTACTTACAGTAATCCTGAAGGTAGAAAAAGTTTTGAATAGTGCTGAGAAATATGCAATTCATATTTTTTTAAGGGACAGGAGTCGGCAATCAACAAATTAGTTATACTGTACTTCCATTTTGTATGAAACCAATCGTTTTTTAGATAAATTTGAGTCTATACTGAAATGCAACACCATGTGCTAAAGACGTGTACCTTTTAAATCGCTCCATATATTACTGCTTGTCCAAGATACATGTGTACGTACAATCTGAGAGATTTAAATACCCGTTTTAAACAATGATGCTCCGAAAAGTTTTCATCAGGAAATTCATGATGTTTTCGCTGCGGGTTGCATTTAATGAATTTCCAGTACACCTCTCCGGGAATGGCTGGCGCTGATTGGTCCTTCAGAAAGGGTTACTGCTGCTGAACAGCATGAGCACGAGCCGACTGTCACTTTTCAGTAGTAGCAGAGCAAACTCTGCAGCTCAGTAGCCCTGCTACCTGATGCAGCAGTGTGTAACACAGCACTTTTCTTGCAATTAAATCCAATGGATTCAAACGCCTTCAAGTAAGAAAGAAGCAAAGGCAAAACAAGTAAAATGTCCAGATTTTGCTTTCAGCGCTGTCGAGGGTTATTTTTGCATTTTTCAAGGCGAAGGTAACAGAAGACGTGCATGCATGACAAAAATGGATTGCCTTTTCCTGTTGATATGGACTTTGCATATTCCAATAGTAAACTGCAGTTCAGTGAAGTTTTTGTCAACCCTGTGGTTTGGGAATGTTATGAAGGCAGGTGACCAATTCATTTTAGATCTTTATTTCTGTGTCTTTTATTCTTTTTTTGTCATTTCGTAGATTTACATATCTTTGTTTTTCAAATAATATTTGCAAATGAGTGAAATGTCGTGTCTTCACAAATCCTTGTGTGTTGTTTTGCAGATATTGCAGATTTGTTGCTCCTTTTCTGTCTCTTCTGAAACAGCAGCTTTAAGCAGTGAGGGCAGTGGACTGGATCATGGTTAGTACTTTTGCTTATTTTATTGCTAAACGTTTTCAACAGCACGAGGGTGCAGACAGGGATGCAGCTAGCGTATTGTATTACAAGAGGATATTTTAAAAACGTTATGCTACTATTGTTAAAATGCATAATAAAAACAAAATTATTAAACAATTTAGAAAATACCAATAACTCCGCTACCGACAGGGAAACAATCCCTGACGTTTATCCCCAAGGCATTTGACAATATTGAAAACAAAATGTGAAAATATTATGTATTACTTAATAATAATTAACTTACAGTAAGTGTGTAGTTATAAGACACTATTTCACCAGGTGATACGGAGCATATGGCACTGACCCTCAATCCTGCGTCTGCGGTGGTCAAACGCATCGACTGAAGGGATTCCCTGTAAAAGCAGTAGCTGGCGCCCGCTGCAAATCAGGTTTAGCTAACCAGCTGACACAGTTTGATTTATCAGTGACGGAACAAGTTAGAGTTCAGCTTTTAACTTTGCACTTACCTATTCCTGTTGTGGATTTGCAATGACGAAGAAAGAGGGCGTGTGTAATCAAAGAGGTTTGGAATATTAATTGTGCTGGTATAATTTAAATATTTTTTAAACTGGACTTAATTTAATAGTTAAAGGCTTAATATTGAAAACCCCGTCCCAACAAATACTGTACTTACTGACTTGCTACGAAAATCGATTTGATTAAAGTTGCTTAAGTATAGTCTACAACTGAAACTACTAGTAGTACTTTATTAATAACGAGACAGGTAAACCGTATATAACATGCTTAATTCCGCATGGGTTTTCGTTTTTTTCTGTTTTTATCGACTGATCGTCTGTCATGTAAGTTTTGAAAGATTCAATATATAATGAATCCCCTGTAATACTGTGTCAATACTTCTATGATAGGGGACTTACACAAACCGAAAATAGCAAATACTAAACTTTTAAACTATTAGTGTAATTTGAATTATTAGGTAATGAAGTTCTGCATATACTGTATATTTCATTTCAGATTATGTTTTTGTGACACCTATAGAAGTAGACTCCATGGGACGGTACATCTCTCACGATATTTTGGAGAACAGCAGAAAGAGGAGATCTTTGCAGTCTGAGAAGGACTCGGTACACTACAAGCTGTCAGCATTTGGAACAGAGGTGCACTTAGACTTAAGACCCTCCAATGTGTTAGCAGACGGCTTCACAGTACAGACAGTCAGCAAAGAAGGCACTACACTACAAGAGCCTACTTTCAGCAATTGTTTTTATCAGGGATTTATCAGGAATCACAGTGCTTCTTCAGCAGCCATATCAACGTGTACAGGCCTGGTAAGTTTTCTCTCAGCTGGTTGTGGTTGGTGATGTCTTCGGCCATGATGACACTTAAGTTTCTTTAGAAATAAGAGTTATACTGAAGCCAATACGAAGCTCTACAAGAGAGTGTGTTTTAAGGTACCACATGTGCATTCAATCACTCCCACTCAACCACCAGCACTCTTATTAAAACAGTATTATCCTTTTGAAGCTTCCAGTCCTTAGTTTTCCAAAACCTTCTCTGCTTGTGTTTTAGGAGAGCTAACCTTTGATGCCGAATTATAGTTACCTTAAATATTTTTATGACAAAATTTCCTGGCTACAATGTCTCTTTGTTGTTCTCACCCTTACATAAATGGAAGACTTTCATGGTAGGCAAAATCCTCAGCCACTCTGTTTATTTGATGATACACCTTTTTTTTATTTCTTGTAGTACTCCTTGGTTTTAATTTGTGTGCAAGAACGCTGAAGCCTGTACCCGGTCATACATGTGTTTTTGTCCCCTTTTGAAATCTGTGCTGCCATCTGTGAAATGCTTAACAGAATGTGTGATATGTGAAATTAGGGGCTTCCAGGATATAGCATCCTAAGTCAGTGTTCTACCAAAAAAAATCCCAAATCTGTGAAACTAAGATGCAGGAGTAGAAACAGGATACACAGCTATTTGTAAATATTTCTGAAGCTGTGGTTAAAGTTTGAGTCACATAAGTCATATGCTCACCTTGTACATTATACTGTGATGAAGCATACCTTGCGAATAGCCTCTATCTCCTTCTTTGCACCCTCTTCTTTTGTCTGCTGTTTGTCCTGCTTCCCTATCTGCCTTGTTCACTGCAATTAAACCAAAAGTGATGTTTCTCCTGCATGGTTGGCAGCACTAATCTTTTTATTGTCCCTTTCATTAGTGGTAGCTTCTTCACAATAAAACAGCAGTGACCCATTCTTTAAAACTACAGAACACCACAATGTGATTGGGAAGCAATTGCATTTGAATAGACTGGAAGAGCTCTTTGATCTATTTTTTTGGATGACCTAGAGGATTTGGCTATTCAGTTGTCTGCTGTATGTTGAATGTACACACACTCAATCTCGCTCAAGAAAGAAAACCTGCATGAAAAAATTGAGGCTGTATTCTCCAATGTCACTTACAGTGAGTGAAACAGGAGAAAATAAAAATAAACACTGCCCTACCCTAACCTGTTTATCCCAATTTGCCATCTTTATTCACAAGAAACTTTGGATTAAATACAAATGGGGGCTTGAGATCCTGTGCAGTTACTTGGACACTTGAAGATGATTGTCCATTTCTTCTTCAAGAATGTTAATTTTTAATTTAAAGCACTTTTTTGTTGATGGCAGCAGCGCTCCTAGGATATGCTTTGAAGCTATTGTTAGAGTTTGGTTTATACCATTCACACATAGAATTGAAGAGCATCTCAAGAGCTCTTTAATCCATTATACTGAACCAGAGGTATAATAAATGGAGGGAATTTGACAATTCATGACTAGAACTAAATGGGTGGTAATTTGTGTTTCCCTATGTTAGTGGACATTCTAAAATCTTATCTGTTTGAAAATTAGGACAGACGAAACACCTATCTGATGTTGCTGAATTTCTGTGTTAGTTTTGCGAATTTAAAAGAGTATGAACAGGCCGTCTTGTAGTTTGTTCAAGAGTTTTGTAGTTGGTGGTGGTGGTGGGGGGGGGTCACAAGGGGCTTGTTCAGTTAAGTATTGAAATCCGTTAGCTTAAGATCACAGTCAATCTTCCATTAATCAGTATTAGGAGCCTTCTTAAAAAGCTTGATCTCGAATAAATCAGCATGGAAACTGGATTACCTCTAGGTCACAACTTTAGGATGTTAGAGGGACACTGGGTGGTATATTTGAATTGCTAGTTGGTTGCAACGATTTTACCTTTTCATTTTGTTTCAAAACAAAAGATTCTGCTTCACAGAATGAGACACCAATTTTTACCTCATTAATTATCTCATTAGATAACCTACTGGGTTACACAATATTGTTAAACATTGAACGGTTTGATTACCCTTTATGAGATTCCTATGCGTGGACCAGCATGTCCAGTCATGATAAACATGCCCATGACCTTTCCCAAGCCCTCAGCTAGTCTATGCTCAGCAGCACAAAGTCATAGCCATGTCTTTTAAATTCTTCTCTCTGCCGAGCCATTTATTGAAGAGGCACAAGTTAATTTTCTGCCCCTACTCCGACCACTTTATGTCCTATCTTCTCTCTTTTATATATGCATTAGTTATATAGATTGATTTACATGAGGGTCCTCATTAAAATAGCAATCCATTCTTCTATGAGAACCAAATATGGCCATGCACCACCCTGTGCTGTTCAACGCCCCATGCTGTTTCATTCACAAATCGGATGTCAAATGATACCATCTCATTAATATTAGGTTTGTTCTAGTATCACAATGTCAAAATATAAGTACAGTATCTGTTAAAGTGAGATCATAGTGTTGAAGACTATGCAAATTTCTTTCTTCAAGTACCTTGAAGGGTAAAGACACAGATTTTGTAGTGGCATCACTTTAAGACACCAGTAGCACTAAATCTGCTGTTTCCCTGCTTATGGCCTTGACACAGATCATTATGTAGAAGTAACTTTCTGTACAATAGTAATGGAAAACATTGCTGACCCTACCTTAATGTTATTTTTTAACCTTTTATAATCTGAGTGTACATTAAACGTGCGCACATAACAGATCACTTAAGATTATTTTTTAAAATTCAGTGATAAATTGGAAAGTCTCAGATCAATTGCTCAATTAATGGATAAGGTGGAAACTGTCTCAGTGTAGCCACTAATGATAATATAGTTTAAAGGTAATTCTTGTGGTTAAAAGGGCTTAGTTTGTTGAAATCCTTTTTACATTGATTATACTTTATTGTAAGAAATTCTCTCCAATTTCCAATCTTATTTCATACTAAAAAAGAAATGCACGGCTTTCTTAGAATTCCATTTTATGATGTTAAAGAAATTTCCTATTTTGCTCAGATATTATTTAGGGATATAATGGACATTTGAATTAGAAGTTAGCATCACATTTTAAATGAGGGAAAATGAAAATGTCTTGTGATTTACATGGTTCCAGAAGTGGAAATTACGTAAAGAAAAGCCACTTGTAATGTCATAATTGTTATGACATATGGTTAATGGATAAAGACTTTAAAATGCTCACATGGCAAAATTACATTTAGATTTTAGGCAACACCAATTTTCTGATATCTGCAAATGGTATTCTTTGAAATCCAAAACAAGGCTGGCCCCCAAATTACTTCTGTTCAGATTTTCCAAGCCAAACCACTGCTTTATTTCATATAACTATCAAAGTAAATTTCTAGTTATCAGCTAACATCCAGTGCTGTAAATTAGTCCATTTCTAATTAAAAAGTGATAATTATACTTTGCATGCCAGCTGATGAGACATTACAATTTTGAGCACAGCTGATGTGACATCACAGGTTTAAGGTGGTGACGTTCTTTCAAGTACCTTGCATCTTTTTCTTAATACAATTGCTCATATTTTATTATTGTGGTCGATAATTTTCTCTTTCACTTGCTTTGAAGTGGTTGTACATTATCTAATGTTGTGTTTTAAAGACAAATGTGTATTAATTTTATAAAGTATTTAACCCCTTGATAGCCTAAAATCAGTCTTGGATGATTGCATTTTGGTGCTGTGTTTCTCAGGGTAGAGTTTGTGATTGCCTCTCTATGAGCAGAAGGCTGAGGTGTGTCACTTACACCTTTTCTGCCAGTGAACATTTGGCTTTCAGCTGCCCAAGCAAGATATGTTTATTCAGCTCTTGGGATTTGTTTGTTGATGTTGCTAATGTGAAGTCTGGAATTCTCTCTTGAAACAGTTGCAGTTTCCTTTTTAGCAGGGTAGATGATGGACAACCTGTTGTCAAGACATGCACTTTTCAGTCCTGGACATGTAAATGTTTTTCTCTTCTGAAAACATCTGCTATAAGGACATTTTGGGTAGTAAATCCTTTAATATAGGAATATAAAGCAAATGTATTTTATTATTGCCAAAATCTTAACAAGAATGTACAATTCACTGTATAAGCTGTAAGCTGTTGCTGGTTTCATAATATTTCTGCTCTTTGACAAAATGATTCTATGATTAAGGCCCTATGAAATTCATGGGTGGTGGGTGGTACTGATATACTTTCTTAAAGACCAGTGGTATCTTGCAGAACTTTCTATTGGAAAAAAACATTAATACTCATTGTCTTATTGAACAACTTGGGTAGCCTGTTTGTGTATGATTCTGACATGCCACCTTTTACTTGGATTTAGGAGAAAAGCTTAAAAAGAATAAGCTCAGTTATTTTTCTCGTTAGTTTTCTGCCATTCATAGAATTATATGAACAGTATTGCTCACATCAAGGGCAGAGTGTAGGTCACCTCACAATACAAGAAAAAACACAAGTGGAGCTTGTAATTGTTATTACAAAGTGCACAATAATGTCAAATGGTATTGGTAAAAAATAGTGTGTCTATTCAAAAAATGAAAAAAATCCCTTCATTGGCTCTTATTTTCTAAATAAGGTGTAACTTTCAATGTCTGGTTAACTCCTGTAGCCTTTTTTCAGGATTAAACTTAAAGTTGTACTCTTTCTCTTTGCCAATGACCAGCCCTGGAGAGTAAGTTGCCAACCTATAATCTACTGTAGTAATACTCTTCTTGTGGCCATACAGTTAAACATACAGTGGTGTGGCCAGAGCCTGTGCCCAACTACTTCGGTTTCCTGCTTTATACAACTTCACAGCTGCAGAGCTTCAAGGCTTAAGCTAATAGTGACCACCTGCATTGCAGGACAAACCAGAGTACAGAAACTGTACAAATTCTTGCTGGTGATCAATTCAGTTTTTCTAAAAATCAGCTGAAAGCCCAAACAGGACTGTAGGTTTTGAGATATCTACTGTATACTTGTCTTAATGGTCAGTTAATAGGAAACAGAATTCAATTT